TACAATAGTTCTATAGTGGACCTTGAAGTCAGGGATGGTGATACCTCCAGCAGTCCTTTTGTTATACAGGATTGTTCCTGTTATCCTGAGTTTTTTGTTTTACCATATGAAGTTGAGTATTGTTTTTTCAAGATTGTAAATAATTGTTTTGGAATTTTGATGAGGATTACATTGAATCTGTAGACTGATTTTGATAAGGTGGCCATTTTTACTATGCTAATCCTACTAATCCATGAGCATGGGAGATCTTTCCATCTTCGGATATCTTCTTCAATTTCTTTCTTCAGAGACTTGAAGTTCTTGTCATATAGGTCTTTCACTTTCTTGGCTAGAGTTACCCCAAGATATTTTATATTGTTTGTGGCTATTGTGAAGGATGTTGTTTCCCTGATTTCCTTCTCAGCCCTTTTATCATTTTTATTTAAGAGGGATACTGATTTTTTGAGTTATTCTTGTATCCAGCCATCTTTGCAACTGGTATTTATAAGATTTAGAAGCTCCCTGGTAGAATTTTGGGGGTTGCTTATGTATACTATCACATCATCTGCAAATGGCAATATTTTGACGACTTCTTTTTCATTATATCCCTTTGATCTCCTTTTGTTGTCTTATGGCTCTAGCTAGAACTTTGAGTACTATATTTAATAGATATGGAGAGAGTGGACAGCCTTGTTCCTTATTTTAGTGAAATTCCTTTGAGTTTCTCTCCATTTAATTTGATGTTGGCTTTTGGTTTGCTTTTATTATATATTTAGGTATGTCCCTTTTATCCCTGATCTCTCCAAGACTTTTATCATGAAGGGGTGTTGAATTTTGTCAAAGGCTTTTTCAACATGTAATGCAATGATTGTCCAATTTTTTATGGTGTATTATATTGATAGATTTTCATATGTTGAGCCATCCCTGTGTCACTGGGACGAAGCCCACTTGATCATGGTGGATGATCATTTGATGTGTTCTTGTATTTGGTTTGCCAGTATTTTATTGGGTATTCTTGCAGCAGTGTTCATACTTTTACATAACAGAGCATTACTCAGCTGTTAAAAACAATGACACCAGGAAATTTGAAGGCAAACTGATGGAACTACAAAAAAAAAAAAATGATCCTGAGTTAGGTAACCCAGACCAATAAAAACAAACATGGTATGTACTCACTCATAATTGGATATTAACTGTAAAGTAAAGGATAACATGCTACAATCCATAAATCCAGAGAGGCTAGGTAACAAGGAGGGCCCAAAGGGGGATGCATGAGTCTCCCTGGGAAGGGGAAATAGAGATAATCTGGGTGGACTGGGGTGGTTGGGCATGGGAACTTGAGGGATTAGGTTTGGGTGGGTGGAGGGCAAGAGTGCAGAGAGAGAGATGATTGGAAAGAGGGGAGGCTTTTTGGGCTCAGGTAGAAACTCAGGAAACTCCCACAAATCTACAAGGATGACCCCAGCTAAAACTCCTATCAATAGTGGATAGGTAGCCTGAACTGGCCCTCTCCTGTGATCAGTTGGTGACTACCCTAATCGTCATCAGAGAGCCTTCATCTAGTAACTGATGGAAACAGATACAGAGACCCACAGCCAAACATTGGGCTGATCTATGGAAATTCTCCTGAAGAGAAGCAGGAAGTATTGTAGGAGCCAGATGAGTCAAGCGTAGCACAACAAAACCCACAGAAAAGACTAACCTGGCTTATAGGAACTCACAGAGTCTGAACCAACAACCAGGGAGCTTTCCTGGGATGAGAATAGGCCCTCTACATATATGTGACAGTTGTGTAGCTTAGTCTATTTCTGGGATGTCTAACAGTGGGAGCAGGAGCTGTCCCTAAAGTTTTGGCTGGCTGTTGGGTACATATTCCTCATACTGGGTCACCTTGCCCTGTCTAAATACAAGGGGAGGTGCTTAGTCTTACTGCAACTTGATATGCCATGCTTTGTTGATATTCTTGGGAGGTCTGCCCTCTCTGAACAGAAACAGAGGAGTGGATTGGGGATGGGCAAAAGAGAGCAGAGGGGAGGGAATGGAAGGAGAGGATGGAGGGGAAACTGGGGTTAGGAAGTAATGTAAATAAATAAGAATCTGATTGTCTGAGGTTTTAAAAATGAGGCTCTGAATACTTTTGTGGGAACTCATCATAATGTGTAGTATCAACTATTTAAAAATCGTTCTTAATGTACTATTGAACTCAGAGTATACTTACTTAAAAGCCTTGGGCTGGATATGAAGCTCAGAATCTGAGTAGTTGTCTACCATCTTGAAGCCTAACTCCAGTCCAGAGAGAGAGACAGAGGCAGAGACAGAGACAGAGACAGAGATAGACACAGAGAGAAGATCCTATAGTGGTAAAATAAGAGAAAAGCAGAGATCTGATATTGTGGTAATAGTTAAATATAGCCATTCAGCCACTGTCTTTTAAACATAAAAAGTTCTTTCCTATGATTTTTGCTTCAGATGTCTTTTATGACCTCTAATTTGGAGATAATTACTAAAAACTTACATTCATTATTTTCTTATTCCTTTCCCTGTCCTTTTCACCAAAGGCCTATGTTGCTGCCAATCAGAGCTTGTGATGAGCCTGAGCAAACACACTGAGGAACCACAGCCCCCACACAGATCTAAAGCACTGACTCAGCAGCTTGTGCACCTTGACAAATATTTAATCCCTGCTAGGCTTCCAAAAGGAATGTGGCTCACTAATTTCTATGACTGACTTCAGAAGCTTCCATTGGAACAAGCTTCCAGAAGGTTGGCAGAGGAGGCATATCATTGTGTGATGGATACAAATGCTGATGAACGCCCCCAAGGCTAGAGAGGAAAGGAGCTTCTCCACAAGTATGCCAAAACGATGAGACACTGCAAGAATGGGAGAGAAACAAGACTGCATTGTACCATATCAGAGTTCATCCACCAGCTGATGATCCCGGCGATCATAGCGAAAGAAAGAAATTTCCATGAAATATTTAGACAATTGCTTGGATTTGCCCTCATGTCTTCCCTTATTTTGTGCATTAAGAGGTTCACCACTGGCATGACAGTATATCTTCAGGGCATGGCTCTGAAAGAGGAATTGGAATTTGATTCTTGTCCATTCTCTACTGCCAAGGGGTTGTGTTTAACTCTCCTGGCTTCTGTGTCCTCAGCCATCTCAGATAAGGGTACCTTATCTCTCTATCCTTTTTATTTATCAAGCTGTACGTGTATGCTAGGAATAGAAAGCACATTTTAGCAATTAGGCACATTTTCGAGTGTATCTCATCAGGACTGTTCGCTGAGAAACTAAAATACAGTATTTGCCAATGAGCCATGCTTTCTGGGTAAGCCTATAGTTTTTTTTTCCTCACAAGAGTTAGGTAACATGAAGATTAGGTTCAGTGGCTACTTTGTTAATAAAGAGTAACGCAACAACAATTAAATACCGAGTGGTCAGCCCTGAGATCACATGCATACAAATAACAGTATAAAGACTGAGTATGTTGTATTTCTATATTCGGGAATATATGTGTGTGCAATGTGTGTGTGTGTGTGTGTGTGTGTGTGTGTGTGTGTGTGTGTGTGTGTAATAATTAAAGAAATAGAGGTGAATTTGAGAAAGAGCAGAGGAGCTACATGGGAAGGCTTGGAGGGAGGAAAGGGAATGTGCTGTGGGATGTTCTGTATGGCAAATGTGTTGCTGATTAGTCAATAAATAAAACACTGATTGGCCATTGGCTAGGCAGGAAGTGTAGGTGGGACAAGGAGGAGAATAAAGCTAGGAAGTGGAAGGCTGAGTCAGAGAGACACTGCCAGCCACCACGATGAGAAACAGCATGTGAAGATGCCGGTAAGCCACAAGCCATGTGGCAAGGTATAGATTAATGGAAATGGATTAATTTAAGCTGTAAGAACAGTTAGCAAGAAGCCTGCCACGGCCATACAGTTTGTACGCAGTATAAGTCTCTGTGTTTACTTGGTCAGGTCTGAGTGGCTGTGGGACTGGCAGGTGAGAGAGATTTGTCCTGACTGTGGGCCAGGCAGGAAAACTCCAGCAACAGGAATGGGGGGAATGATCTTATTTTAAAACTAAAAATTAAAAATTTAACAATGAAGCAGAGCATCCCAGTCCTAAAGCTCAATTAAACAGCTGTTTCCACCTTAAATCCACAAACTTCACAACTCTGTATCCTTTAGTTCCTGTGCATGCCCCTGTCTACTCCGTAGATTGTGGCTTTCTAGAAACCAAAATTAAATAGCACAATAACTCATGAAGCATTTTTGTCACAACTGTTTTGATTGTGTTTTTATTATGTGTATGATTGTTTCACCTGCATGTGTGTGTATATGTGCACTGTGTAAATGCAGTGCCCCCAGAGACCAGAAGAGTTTGCCAAATACCCTGAAACTGGACGTATAGGTGGTTGTAAGATGTCACATTGGTGCTGGAAACCAAACCTGAGTCCTGTGTAAGAGCAGCAAGTATTCTTAACCACTGAGGCATCTCTCCAGCCCCTTCAGACTTTAATGAACCTAAACTTGTTTTGTGTATCTGTCGAAGTGATCTCTGGCCATCAGATAGCCCAGATTTCTCTCACTGGTTTGGAAAACTGCAATAAACACAGTATTAACTCTGAATGTTACATTCAACATACATGAATTCAGGTCACCACGATTTCAAATTCCCTGAAGGTAAAATGTTACATCTAGTGTGTTCATTTCTACACCTCCAATGAAGAAGTAAAACAGGCATGTTAAGTTTATCATCTTGTCATCACATTTTAGGGGCATCCTATTGGCCTAGAAAGAGAGGATGATCACTTGATCACCAGCTTAATTGGGACACAGGAAGGTGGTAGTAATGGGTGTAAAGGAAAGTAATAATTTTCTTATAGACAAAAATTCAAAACAGAAAGGGTGTGGATGTTTTCATACGATTATTTCACTAGGTAAGCCTATTTAAAGTAGAAAACCCAGTGTAGCTAAAGAAGAAAATGGAAGTCAAATTGTTCCCTGGTAGAAAGTTTTCAAAGTAAAATGCTAAGCGCATCAGGAGCCAGTTGGTTTTGTGAGGTTTGTTTGGTCTTCTTTTTTTAAAGACATAAAAAGCCAGCAGCAATTCACATAAAGTACACCAGGCTGAGGAAACCTTTGTGTGAAGCTTAAAATGGAAAATGGACTCTCTCTGTGTTTCCTCACGTACATACTAAGTCATTCAATGAGAAACTTACCAAAATTCCATGTTGGGTCTGTCTCGTTTTTTCCCAATGGCCTTCAATGTCTGAGGTGAACACGGAGTGCTCTAACTATTCCATTGTGCCTCTTCAAGTAACCATCACTGATTCTGTGAAGGATAAGTAGGTGACCTTACTTCACAATGTGTGCTGTGAGTAAGAGTTTGCAGTAAAATAAAGTGAAGAAGAATAATTACCAGGATGTCCACAACCTGTAAGCCTTGCCACTTTGAGTAATCATCTATTCCACTTAAATAAATTGGTTATTTTCTTCTTCCAGGTTTCCCATATTTTGGCACAGGTCAGTTTTTTTCCTTCCAATGTGTAGGTGGTGGCTACAGTATTAAAACTGGTATTCTGCTGCCTTATTCTTCTGTTCGCTAGTGCAACATAGTCTGTTGACCAGATGTCTCTTCTTGGCTGCCAAAGGTATATGCTGGTCCTTGGGATGCTTGGAATGAGGCTAGTAAAGCTAAATTTCAGAAACAAAGTAATTAAATACAATTCATCCCAAGTCATTGTAGTGGACCCTAAGGAAAAACCAAAGGACTTAAGTACTGTTCTTATAAAAATCGGGTCTTTGCAAATGTCATCAAATGGAGAAGAGATAAGAGATTGTCGTGAGATAGAATGAGTCTTTATGCAATTACTGAAACCCTTTTAATAGGAGAGAAAGTCATGTACAACAAAGGCAGCAACAGACTGAAGAGTTGCAAATAAACAGACGCTAAGGATAGCTTGCAACCTTAGCCAAAAAGCTGGGAAAGAATGGTATTTCCTTGTATTAGTTGGACTGTTGTAACAAAATACTATAGACTCAGAGGTATAAACAACAAAGGTCCTCAAAAAAAAAAAAAACCTATGTCCTCAAAATTCTGTAATCCAGAAAATCCAAGATTACAAGGTAACAATGGATTCTGTTTCTGGTAGATCTCTCTGCCTGGCTTGAAGATGTCCATCTTTGTTATGTATCCTATTCTAATATTTTCTTGGAAGGAGGGAAGGGGGAAATAGAGAGAGAGAGAGAGAGAGAGAGAGAGAGAGAGAGAGAGAGAGAGAGAGAGAGAGGTTTTCTCCTTTGAGAAAGCCACTTGTCCTGTGGAATTACATCTCCACTCTCAGCACTTCTTTTCAGCTTAATTACAGCCTAAAAGACCCTGTGCTTAAATACAGTCACATTGGATAATGATGCCTTGATATCTGAATTGTGAAGGACAGACTTGAGTTCATGGTGCCCCTTACTCCCTCCAGAAAGAACCAATCCTGATACTTGGTGTGTCTACTATTCAAGACTGGGACAATAATAAATCTGAGCTGTGATAAGTCACTGAGTTTTCAGTGCTTATAACAGCCCTGAGAAATAAATACATATTTGGTACTGAAAGGTAGGATAGTACTAAAACCATTTCAGCAGAAATACAGCTAGCTTAAACTGAAGAGGATGAAACCTAGACAAAAAGAAATGATACTGTATTTCTGGGGCTCTATCGACGGGACAATGAAGATATTCAGATGAAGACTGCTTCTATCCTTCAAGAAAAATGATCACTCAAAAGAAGACTAGAAAGAGGCTGGTGGGCTCCTAATGGACCCACAAGCCTAGTACAGGCAGACCAAGGGAAGGGCCAGGGAATATGACAGGAACTGAAAATAACCACGGGGGTAGTAAATAACAGAACCTCTCAGTACCTCCAGAAATGAATCTTGAAAACTGTATTTGAACTTCTAAACTCCAATGACTGTTATACAAATTCCCGTTATTTTAAGCCAACTGTTCCGTGTAACTTTATTATGACAACTATCAATAATAAATTCTATGCCCTCAGCTCAGAAAAAGATAGGAATTGGAGTCCTAGCATATTAAGATATAAAGTGCATTATCAAATTTTCTAGTTATGACAGTCTTACAGGCATATCCTGGGTATCTATTAGAATGCAGTTTACATAGCTACACTGAGACACCACAGCCCTAATTGGCAAGTAGACTCATACTCTTTAGAATGAATACTTGAGGGGAAATCAGGACTTTTGATAAAATCTCTTCATATACATAGAACAGTAATGAGAGAATAATTTAGCACACTTGGTTGATTTCCTAATACACTATAAGGCAAAAAAAGCTCTCTAGGTGTGCCACCTTCTTCAAAATTAATCTGTTAATGTATTAAAGATCAGAGTGATAAGTTGTATTCGATGCACACTTTTAGCTTGTCCAACCAACATTTTCTTTTCTTTAAGTAATCAGCCTGGCTAGCAGTTCAAATGATAAGGTTGAAACCTGCTGCCTTCTCTATCACACCTTGTCAGCCCTGACCACAGTGAATGGTTTGGACCTCTGATCTATGAGTGGATACAAATTCATATTCTCTCTCTCTCTCTCTCTCTCTCTCTCTCTCTCTCTCTCTCTCTCTCTCTCTCTCTCTCTCTCTCTGTGTGTGTGTGTGTGTGTGTGTATCTCTCTCTCCATATGTATATATATATACACACACACACACACATATCTTTCTCCCTCTGTTTTTACTCTCTCCCTCTCTCCCTAGATTTTAAACTGTGACATATTAGCTGGGAAACATTTTGAAGTGCCTTCAAGTGTATGTTCTCATCAACTTAAAAGCTTGGTCTATGTGTAATGATGAACAGAAAGGGTCCCATCTCTAGCCAAGAACAAATGGACCTGTGAGAATGGAGAGGGAAGTGCTTTGGCTTATCCTAGCCCTTCTATTTCCAGATATTACTGTAATGTAATGTGAAATAATGCTGCAAATGAAAAACTCAATAAACAAATTAAACACCTTAGGGAAAAGCCTGACCACCAGGGGCCGACGGAACATTTCATCCAAATACGAATGAATGCACACTTCTTTTTCTCAGCAGATGATGAAACTTTCTTCAAAATAGATCCGCATATATTAGGGCACAAAGCAAGATTCAACAAATATAGGAAAAGTGAAATCATATTCTGCACTCTATATGACTACAGTGGAATAAAGCTGGACGTCAACCACAGTAGAAACTACCGAAAGTACACAAACGTGGAAACTAAACAACACTGATAAATGGGACAAGGATAAAGTCAAGAAGGAAAACAAAATTCTTATGACTAAATGAAAATGAAATCATAACATACCAAAATCTATGAGACACAGTGGAAGCAACACTTTTCTTTTTGGGGTGGGGGGAACCATCTTTAGTTTTTCATATTCACCATTCCTGCTTCATTGGAGTGGAATTTATATTTATTCTAATCCACTTTCCTACTTCCTTAATATTGTTGTACTTACTTCCCTAACATGATTCAAGGATGTTTGGAATGATTCCTAAAAGGAATCAATACTGAAGAGAAACATCACTATCAATGGTCGTCTGGTGGGTAGAGTGAGCACTTCGCTATGCTGGCCAACATTAGAAGGATCACAGAAGAAGGTAAGGATGTTGCCAGGACAGCAACTGCCAGAGAAACAGGCAGCACCTAGCTGCTAAGCCCTGTGAGATCAATTTCAGAAAAGGAAGGTGTTGTGAGCAATACTGCATCTCTGCCACCTGGACCTTATCCACAACTCATCAGGGTGAGAAACTCTTTAGGAAGAATTGAGACATTCTCTTCTTATGTTGAGTGTTCATTGCCATCTTCCATACTTTGGGGAGATGACACTGACCTTCTAAAGAAATCAATGTGGTTTGTGGGTGAGAAAACATTGACTACGAAGCCCAAACAACTGAACAAAACATTTAAGTCCCTACACGTCTGTTGAACCGAACTGGTGAAGGGTTTCTTATCTCTTTAAGGGCAAATTAAGAAAAAACACATTATTCCACATGCATTGAGATTGCTGCCATTGTAACATGCCAGGTTATTCTAGCACTGAATCTAGTATGCACCAAAGTCATACTAGACTCTAATATGCATCAAAGTCATATATTGAATGGGGGGTCACCAGGACTGTAATCTAGAACCCAAGATTTGGGCTGTGTTATAATACTAGAACCTGGAAAAAATGAATGGGAATTAGAAATTCAAGACTTAGGAACTTATAATTCTGAAGTAGGGACAAAATGGAATAAATCATGCTTTATCATGAGCTTTAGTTGCTTTCCCATTGCTGTGATAAAATACCCTGATAAAAGCAACCTAGGGTTGGAAGGATTTTGACTCATGGTTGCAGGGTATAGTCCATCATGGCAGGGAAGTCTGGTGGCAGAAGCTTGCAGCTGATCATGCTGCATCCGCCGTCAGAGGAATCAGAAAACAATGACTGCTGCTGCTCATCCAGCTTTCTCTTTTACTCAGCCCAAGACCCTAGCCCACACGAGTAGTACCACCTACTTTAAGGATGGATCTTCCCACCACAGTTAGGACTAAACAAGATAATTCCACCATCAAGGGCAGGGACTAAGCCAACCTAAGCAATCCCTCACAGGCATGGTTAGAGGTTTGTGTCCTAGATGTTTCCAGATGCTGACAATATTAACCACCACATGAAGATTTTCTGTTTTCACGGAATCTATCCATGTCCTAGGTCTAGTCCTAAAATACACACAGAGCATACAATCCTGTTTGAAATTTGAGCCCTGAACTGGGGGGCATAAAACCTGCCTGCCCTGTTATGCTTTCAGCAGGAGGCAATGGTTGCTTTCTGCTTTGCTTTTCCTAGAAAAAGAAAAATAAATGCTCCACAAGCGTCCTTTCAAGTTTTCGATATAAGAGATCTGCTGGAAGCATCATAAAGTCTGTTTTATGAGAGACATATTGTCAAGAGAAGTTAGGAAATAAACAAGCGTGGATCTGTTTCAACAATGCTGACTGTGAACTAATCTTAAAAGATCAAATGGTTCTATAAATTTTTAATCTGAAGCCTTTCTAATCCAAAAACTTATAATAAAGCAAATGATTTTTATGTCAAATATTGGATTGCTGTCAAATGCAATTAACGGTATCATGTGACATGTTCGTGCTGTGGCACTATTTTATGACAAAGGCGCTCATTTTTCACTTCCTTCACCAGAATAAGAAGAAAGAGAGAGAGATGGAGGGAGGGAGGGAGGGAGGGAGGGAGGGAGGGAGGGAGGGAGGAAAGGAGGGAGGTGAGAGGGAGAGAGAGAGGAAGAGAGAGAGAGAGAGAGAGAGAGAGAGAGAGAGAGAGAGAGAGAGAGAGAGGGGCGCTGACTTATTGCCAATTTGAATCAAAATCTGCCATTCAGATAACCAAACTAAACAGTCCATTTAAGCAATGTGTCTCATGGTTGCTTAAGAGTAACTTGTCCAATTCACAATACTTATTCACTTTATAAAATAAAAGATTAAAAAATGAAACTGTAGAAACTTTAAAACATTAGGGATAAAATATGAATTGCAGATAGTAAAGAGACTTATCTGGCCTTTTGCATTATTTCCCAATGCACCATATTAATATTTTCTCCCAATTAAACTTGATCTAAAGCATAAATCCAGCTGAAGTAGAGTAAGAGAGGCTG